AGTCAGAAACCAGGGTTTAAGGTTTGCCCACCTAATCAAGCCATGCATCTCCATGTCTGCAGGGCTGGATCTCCCTGGCGGTCTCTGCCTATCCCACCAGAGCGGGTAGGGTGGGCACGCTCCAGGGCCCTTCCCTTTTCCGTTGCAGGCCCTGCCCTAGGGAACACCCTCCCCCCGAGATCTGACAGACCCCCGCCCTTTTAACCTCCCGAAGACCCCTGAGGACCTGGCTCTTCCCCCAAGAGTTGGGATAGGGGGAGCTCGGAGCGGGACGAGGACCTGGTGGCAGCATCAGGGAAGGGCAGTGGGGCAGCAGAGCCAGTCCTCCTTGGAAGTATTGTTCCTTTTATGGTTGCAGACACTGTTTTCTTCTTGGGTTGAAAGCCGCCCCGAGTTAGGGTTTGAGATGGGCTTAAAGGTTTTGAATAAAGAATAAAGAATGCAAATGTTGCCTGAGGGCCCCCTTTCCCCACCACCCAGGAGCCAGAGGGAAAGAGGCCCCGCAGGTGGTGAAGGGTCGAGACAGCTCCGAAAAGCACAAGGCCGGTGGCTGCCGACCGATGGCGGCATGTTGGGAAGGGCTGCCCGATGGCTTGATCAGGTAAGCCTACTCCTCCCAGGAGAAGCCTTTTGCACGCTCCTGATCTGCTTGGATCCAGTCCATAGTGGGATCTGAGAACCCCGACAGAGCAGATGGCTTGATCAAGGAGTTAAACAGGTGCAAATGTCCTTACCTTAGACAGGATCCTTGCAGGCCATCATGCAACCACAATGGCAAAATATGGCTCCTTGGAGCAAATGCAAGGCTGCAATCAAAGGAGGACCATCACTGACTGGGGTAGAGATCCTCTCTGACAGTCAGAAACCAGGGTTTGAAGTTGCCTAATCAACCCTAACCCTAACCCATAGATCTTCATGTTGCCTGAGGGGAGACCAATGACTAGCCCACAGTCAGGCCACTCTTCATCTGTGGAGAGTGAGCTGAACGAAGTGGGCAGGGTCTTCTGCTCCTGCCTCTCCTCCTCTCAAAAGGGGCCTGTTATCAGAAGCGTTCAGTTGAGTGACCGCCATTCAAGGAGGATCAGAGACACAGATGGAGGAGAAGCAGAACGGCAGTGGGAGGAAGAACCTGGAAGGGTTAGCCAGATGGCTACCAGAAGAGAGATGGGGCTAACTGCCAGGAGGAAAGAACCCAGTACACCACTGCCAAGAACACTTTGCTTGCTCCTTTGGGTGTGAACATGTGAATGAGTCAGCAGTGCTAGGACTGGGCAGATAAAATGGGCTGATTCCCATGGATGGAGGAGAGTTCTTGCAGATCCTTGCACCCCCAAACACTTTGCCAACAGTCAGCAGCCACCGGTCTTCTGGCCTTCCACCCCCTGCCTGTCTCTTTCCTTCTGGCCTCCCTGTGGGAGGGGGAGCTTCCCAGGTGCATCAGACACCTGCATTGAGGCTATTGGTCCACACTGGCATTCAGGACACTCCACACAGAAGATGTTTGGCCAGGGAGTTAAACAGGTGTAAAACACAGTATTTTACCTTAGACAGGATCCATGCAGGCAGAAGTGGAAGCATAACCACAACACTTCTGCTTCCCATTGCACTCCCAGTCACTTCCACACCTTGAGATAGTGATCGTACCTGGAGGTGGCTGGGGACACACCCTGGGCTTCCCTGAAAAACAGAACATCCCAGGGCCATGAGATTCCTGATGGAATTGGATTCCCAGAGCAAGCAGGATCCCATCCGTGCATTTTAGCAGTCCAAACCTCCCCATAAGCCATTTCCTTATGGGGTCAGCTCCAGCAAGCAAGGGGCCTCTCAGCACACTGGGCTGGACATTATGACTGGGCTCCAGTTTCTTGACTTGGGATCCTGAGGGTGGAAATGTGCACTTCGAAAGAGGAAGGTGGTTCTCCTCGTGGGCGTGCAGAGGGTCCATCTTGGTCTGTCTTCCCATCAGGAAGGGATTCCAGGAATGGGAGGCATGGCCCTTCTCTGCCGGTTCCACACACTCTTGCAACCCCTTTCCCAAATATACAGGGGGCAAGATAGCACTCTCCCCCAAGCAGAGGGTGGATGGCCAGGGACATCTTCTTTCCTTGGGCCTCCTGGAAGTTGCCCTGAAGTTCTCAGATTAAACAGGGAGGAGCTGCAGGGAGTGAGGTTCAACTTCTAGGGAGGCCCCATCCTGCCCGCTGTTGCCCTCTGAGCTGGCTCAGTCAGCACACACACACCTCGGCTAATCCAGAGCTGGGCACTCTGTGGCTCGGTGTGGGGTTCTTCGTTGGCTCATTACGCTAAACTAACCGAGCAGAAAGAGAGCCAGTTTGGTCTAGCGGCTAAGTCATCAGCTAGAAACCGGGAGACTGGGAGTGCTCGTCCCGCCTGAGGCACGCAGCCGGCTGGGTGACCGCAGGCCAGCCGCTCTCTCTCGGCCCTGGGAAGGAGGAGGCCGGGGCAGGCCACTTCCACAAAGCCTTGCCAAGAAAACTGCAGGGACTAGTCCAGGCATCTGCCAGGAGTCAAAACTGACTTGAAGGCACAAAAACGAACGAAAATCAAAGAAAGAAGTATTAAAGGATCATACGTTGTACATTGTACAAGGACGTATTAAAAAATTGAAACAAAAGAACGTTTAGCGTAGCATAACAATTCTTCTAGCCAGCCCCCACGGCTGAACAACCCACAGTTCTTGAATGCTTGGCAGGTTCCAAGCAGCCAGGAAGAACGCGTGCATCTTTAACGCTCAGGGATTGGTCCAGAGTCACGCTTACAGTCCTCTTGAAGTTAGTTCCAAAGACATCTGTAGTAAGAACGATTGTATAAATAAATACAAGATGAAACCAGCCGACCACTGCCTGGTCACCTCTCCAAAAGGACGGGGACTGTAACCAGCCCTTATCAAACGTTCTCTGAGGCATCCGGTGTGTGTGAAAAAAAAATCAATTCTTTTAAAAATATATTAGCCTCAGTTTAAGATCACGGGAAAAAATTTCACAGTGCATAATACGCGCAGGTCACAACCCTCCGCTCCTTATTTGAAAGGCCAAGTCAGCTGAACCACTGTTGCATGGCAGGTTCGTCTTTGCCAGATTTATCGATGATTGGCATTTCCAGGGAAGAGGAGAAATACAACGATGTTGAAAAACTACAGTAAATGTTTGTAAATGTAGTACAGATGGAGGTAGTCCCCCCTATCAATGGTGGGGGGATGAACTGTCTGCTAGAGATAGATCAATCTCACAAGAAATAAATAAAAATTACTTTATTTTTTTTTTATAAGGGGTGGTAATGGTGAAAAAGAGAATGTAAAAACTCCTTTTTTTTAATGTACTCACATGCAAAACACTGAATGGCCTTAGAGATAAAAAAATGGATCTGTTCAAAACAGAAAGTAATGGTCTCAAAAAAGAAAAATATCAAGGAAAATTTAAGTTTGAATTAGACCACAAAATGTGATGCTCAAAGGTCCCGAGAAGCATCAAACATACAAAACTGAGTTTGCATAAACATCAGAGACCATAAAGATCTTAGCGACACACAGGAAAAAAAATGGAAACGATCCCCATGCAGTAGACCTACATGGAGGAACACGTTTCACGGAGAAGAACTGTCTACGTGGTCCCTAAGAGTTGATAACGACTTGATGGCACTTAATCAATCGCACCCAAACGGATGTTTTCTCGTATCCTTCCTGAAAGGGATTTCCCCCTGCCTTCCCTTCACTGAGCCCTTCAAGAGGAGAGGCTGGACAGGCATCTGTCGGGATGGTGCATTCGGGTCCGGTGCTGACCAGGGGGAGACCGGGTGGCTTCCACAATCCTCGCGCACTGCTTCTCCCCCGCCCCGCCCCAGCCCTCAG